AGCTAGATTGTATTTGGGCTATGTAGGTCCCCATAGTGATCTATTTACAGCCCACTTTTCCACTAAGCTAACATTGTTGAGAGTTGTTTTCTGACTGCAAAGAACATTCCAGTGTATTGCAGGGAATAACATTTTGCTATTTTCAAATTGCTATCTGATTGTGTATGCAGAATGAAGTGTACCTAATCCAAACACCAGAGCCAGAAATAAAAGGTGAAGTAAAAGTAAGATAAAGGTATATGTCAAAATATATGACACCAGGTGCTGTAGACTGTATTTCAGAGTAAGGAATAAGCATTCTTTGCCCAAGAAAACCCTGTCAAATTGATGAGGTTGCCATGACAGGCAACTTGAAGACACACTCATACACACACAAAACTCCCTCAACAACTCTTTAATCCTGTTGTTTAGCCCTTTTTGGCAAACAAACAAATCTTTGGTGTACTAAATATATCTCCTCTTGTTCTTCTTTCTATCTCCATTCATTTTCTCCATCTCCTTCTATTAACCAGGCATACTTTCTTGTATTACCATTTAGTTCTTCCCATACTTGAAAAATTACTTCCAGTTGTTTTAAAAATGCTTTGTGTTTTATTCAAATTCAACATGAGTAGTGAGTTTCTTATACAATCTGCACTCCATATCCATGGATTCTGCATTCATGGATTCAACCATCCACAGCTTGAAAATATTTTTTTTAAAAATCAAAACAATAATAATTGATTTTGCCATTCTATATAAGGGACACCACTTTATTATGCCATTGTATATAATGTAACTTGAGTATCTGTGTATTTTGGTATCCAGTAATGGTCCTGGAATCAATCCCTAGTGGTTACCAAGGGCCTACTGTATAAGAATCAATTTTATCCTACATGATGTCAGTGAAATTTGTTTTCATTTAATTGCGCTATTCAATTTTCCTTCTTAATTGGACTGTAATACTGGTTGGACACCTTTAAATTCTGGAAAAGCTTTTGTGCAGTAAACATTTAAAAATAAGTCTCAGAAGAAAAAATCTATTTGAAGGAAAGCTGGGATAGAATGAATCCACATCCAAGGCTTAATCCCTCCAGCCATAACCATTGTTATATAGATGTATGATACTGTTGTAGTAATACCTATGTAAATTTTTGTAGGCTGGTGGGTTCCATGAGGCCCTATAAATCATGTTACTTTGTGCTTTTATTATATTTAATTTGGTTTGTTTTTCTTTTTCAAAATGTTCTATAGACATGCATGTCTTTTTAACACCAACTTCTCACTCTTAAATAGAAATTCTCTGGCTGATGAAATATTAAAAATTCAATCATAGCTCAATTATACTTGTGATAATGTTATTTTCTTTAAAATTTGTATATATGTCTAGTTGAATATGGTTTTCATTTTGAAAGGTAAAGTGTTACTTATATTTAAAATATAATCTATAAGACTTGTATCACTCTCTACTGAACTCAGGAGCGATATATACAATATATAACAGAGTGTGGACCTTTTGTCAAGTGCAAGTTGATATACCTGAATCTCTGATCCACTGACTATTGGAAATTATCATGAGACACATCTTGGATGAAGTACATAGATAGGATTTCAGTTTTGAGTATGAGGTCTCCACTTAGAAAGTAGAGAGAGCATGTAAGTCATAATGCTGGCTGAAACTGCCTCTGATCCAGGCAAAGATGGTCACAGCAGCTGTAGCCCCAGGTGTTAAATATGACACAGCAGCTTGATCTATCGACCGCTGTAAGAGGGGCTTTGGTTTAAATGAAAATTCATGAAAAATTGATGAAGTCCCCAAATTATTTTTTTCTTTTCTTTTTTTGCTGTTGTGCCAGGGTAGTAAGAAGAGATTAAATGAGGTGTTGAATGTTTTAGTGACTAGGAGGTTGTGGTTCAGAGGTCAAAAGCCATGAAGAAACTGATCATTTCCCCCCTCCTTTCTTCTGAAATAAAACACTAGTCACTTGTTACTATGTTTTCCCCTCAGTATTATTTTTTTAAAAAGCACCTATACCACTGCATATATGTTTTCATCTTCTAAAGAAAGAGGATTTACATTGATGATACTAAAAACAACAACAACCAAACCCCAACATGCTATAATTCTTAATTCATCAAGAGAAACAGAAGAGAGACTGAATCCTGTAACTGAAGGTTGAATTTTGGCCATTATCTTTCAGGGTTTCCACTTGTAGTGATTTCATTTAGAGAAAGAAAATGCTCCTGCATTATTAATAGGTCACATATTGCTGAAATAGCAAGCTCAGGACCATTGTCCAAACATAATGATTCCACTTGCTTTAAAACTGAAAGCAAATTGATGTGATACTAAAAGAGTATAGTCCTTGACTAAATTTAACAAGAACATTGCTACAACATAACCCACTTGTTTTTACACAATATGTCTAAACCTGTTTCATATGCATCTAGTTTGTAACTGTATACAAATTAGATATACAGACTGTATAATAACGTTCTCCTAAAAGTATTGGTTAAAAAGAATAAAAATGTAGTCAGAACTAAGTGCTGTAGATTTTTTTCCCCTGAACTGGAGTGTACCTTCTGCCAGCTGGTAGGAGTAAACATTTTCATATTTCTAATTGAAAAATGTCTGTAAACAATGAAGAAACATCACCTTCCCAGTAGGGTAGCCAACAATATGGCCCAAGGAGGACAGATGACCATATTCATTAATGCCTTTCATTGGCAGATTTCTTGCATTTTAGTCCTGGTTTTGTTTAAAGGGGTGGGCAATGTAGCCCCAAGGCCATTCCTGTTTTTCAACCTCTCCCACACTCACCAAATTGCCCATTTTATGCACCAGAAAAATGGGTGTGGAAGTGCCTGTCCTGGAAACCTGCAGGGGCAACAGTTCTTTTAATTAGGTTGCAGATTCCCCTGCTGAGTACATTAACAGAAATTGGTGGTTTTTCAAAACCAGGAATGGACTTCCAGGCACTTCTTGTTTTGCTTTGCTTATGTTTGGCATTTTGGGCAGTCGCTGCACCATCCGCAGCATCTCAGAGCAGAATATTGGCCCACTGCCATTGTTGCACACTTATGGTGCTGTATTTTGCTTTTAAATTATGTGTCATTCTGCGGTATGAAAATGAGAAGGGTTGTACATAAGCAAATAGATAACCAGGGTGGGAATCGCACAGTCTTCCAGATGTTGCTGGAGTACAGTTCCAAGCATTCTTCACTTTTGACTGTGTTGATTACTGTGTAAATCTATTCAGAATTAAGACACTTTATGATCAATTTGATTTATTATCAGTAAAATATTATAAGGCTGTAGACGTAATCTACTTTTAAAGCTTGGTGTACTGTCATGTAGAAAAAGGAGGGCAAGTTGAAAGTTGTTTGTCATTTTCATCTTGGTAATGTCAGTCACTCACACCACTTTCTTTAATCCTGAATTTATCTTTGCCACATTTTATATTTTTAGGAAGTGCTCTCACTTCCATAATGTTTGCACACTCTCCTTGATGGAGTATAAAATACATGCAACATTCAGTGTCCCAAGTATCCCTAATGTATGTTTGAACAATCTCCCATTCTGTATAGTCAATTTCTGTTAGCCTCTTTTATACTCAGTGCTTTGCTAATTTTAGTTAGCTAAGACAATAGCATAGCTGATAAAAATAGCAACACAACATTCGGGACTGCCTCCTCCCATACAATACCCCTGTGGACTCTGGTCCTCTGGGAGGAATTTGCCATAGCCAATGAAACCTAGGCTGTCTGCAATCTCCCAGAGGGCCTTCTCAGTAACTGCTCCCAGACTATGGCACAGCCTGCCGGATGAGATCCGTCAGATTATGAACTTAAGCAGCTTTAAAAAGGCTGTGAAGACGGATCTCTTTCGGCAGGCCTTTCCTGACTAGAATTGCCGGCCTCAGGAGTCTATTTAATGTTACCTCTTCTATTTTTCTTGTCACTGCTCTTGCTGGTGTATTGTTTGTTCTAGTTAGTTTCTTTTAATTTTGATGTTTTATTCTAATCTGTTTTAATGATACTTGGTTTAATACTTTTTTAAGGGGTGGGTGGGTCTTAGGGTTTTAGAGTGTACTATGAGATGATTGTATGAATTTTAACTGTTGTAAGCCACCCTGATTGTTCGACAGAGGGCCAGGGTAGAAATAAATTTTATTGTTGTTGTTGTTGTATTATCTTATTCATCTTTTCCGTGAATACTGGCTTTTCCTTGAACTTCCTCATTATCTGTTTATAATTTAATTATATTTTAACACTATATTTTAAATTTTACTTCTGTATGTTTCTGGCCATATACATGTTATCTCTACTTGTTTTGGATTAGAATTGGAATAGAAATACAATAGATGCATACATACATAAACAATGATGGGAGTCAGTTCATTAGATCTCAGAATGAATAATTGGATTTTTTATGCATGGTCAGAATTCAGGTTGAAATGAGGTTTCAATCCTGTGAAGCAGTAGTAAGATATCAGCTACATAAAACATCATTGCTGTTACCATGACTTCCATAAGTATCAGTGTCAGAGTCACTGTCATGTCCAAGCAGAGACAATGACCTTGACACTTTTGCAAATAGTCCCAAAATTCACCCCTCCTGTTTGCTTGGTTGTTTACTTTTTTGTTTGGACACAGCACAAATAAGGTAAGGAGACTTAATTAAGTTCCATTATAACCATAGGGAGTTAATATGATGACTCTTCTACTGATTTCAAAATGATTCATTCATTGTGTTTATGATATTACTTAAAAAAAAACACCTAAAAATCATTGGTTTTGTTTCTAGACAGGGATATCATTCCATGTAGATGTGCCATAGATGAATATAATATCATTTTGGAGGGAATATCAGAGAGCCAGTGTGGTGTAACAGTTTAGGGTGTTGGAGTGTAACCTATCATGAAGTTTTCTTGGCAAGATTTTTTCATAGGAAGTTTGCCATTGCCTTACCATGAGGCTGAGTGAGTGTGACTTGTTCAAGATAACTCCAGTGAATTTCATGGCCGAGCTGGGAACTGAACCCTGTTTTCCAGAGTTGTAGTCTGACGCTCAAACCACTACACCATGCTGGCTCTCTTACACTGTATACATATAGCTTAAAGATAATTTTATACAATATTTTTAATAGTTTTGTGCATGAAACAAAGTTTGTGTATAATGAACCATCAGAAGTCACCGATGAGAAAAATTTTGGTTTTTGGAATATTTTGGATTTTGTAATTCTGAATGAGGGAGACTCAACCTACATGAACTTCAATTGATTAGCCTTTTAGGATGAATCTTTTCTTCATGGGTGGAAACAGTGAATAGACTTCAGACATGCAGTAGATTCTGCTCCCACTTCCTTCATGGGTAGATACATTTCTCCTTCCTCTACTCCCCCTGAGTCTTTCATAGGGCCTTTGCAGACTGCCAGAAATAGTGCACATTAAATTGAGGCACTGCCCTGGCTCAGTGCTAGGGAATCATGGGAACTGTAATTTATTGTGGCACCAGAGCTCTCTGACAGAGAAGGCTCAATGTCTCAGAAAAAAATACAATCCCCATGACTCCCTAGCACTGAGCCAGGGCAGTGCCTCAATTTAATGTACACTATTTCTGGCAGTCTGCAAAGGCCCATAGTCTCCTAAATCTGCTTCAAATTGTTGCAGAACCCAGAAGGCCAATTTGATTTGGGAATGTATGTTAAGTGCTCTGTAGGGCAGAAGTCTCCCTCTTCCACTGTCTCCTTGTTCCACTGACAGAAACTATTTTAAGCATGGATGGTATATAGTTTTACAAATTCTTTAGCATTCTCTGCCAAAGAGTGCTGGTGGCTCACAAAACTACAAATACCCAGAATTCTGTAGGATGGAGCCATGACAATTAAAGCAGTGTCAAGCTGCATTAATTCTGTAGTGTGAAATTGCATAATTTCTACAATGTAGATGCACCCATAGCCATGAGATATTAAAATTATTGTAGCATTTTTATTTTTATTGTTTTGCAGACTACATACTACTTTGTCATAGGCATTAAATAGTTTAGCAATTGGTAGAGGGTATACATGAAGAAGATTGAATAGTTTGTAATGGAAAGCTTTCTTGTATGAGACAAAAGCGACATACCAGTTTGCCAGTGAGACAGTTGCCTAAGATGGCAGATGATATGAAGTAGGAAATGCTGGTAAATTTTACACTTTACCATAGGTGTGCTAGTCTACTATGTACAGGTTGAGAATCTACTATGAACAGGTTGAGAGTCCATTCACTTTCTATACACTGAACTGACCTAAAGGTATGGAATGAACATCAGCTTTGGAGGACTCTGGAGAAAAATATTTGCTTCAGCTTTTGTCTCTCCATTTTCCCATATCTTCTCTTTGTCATTCAACCATTTTTTAAACATTTCTGAAACATTATTGGTTTCCTTCTCTAATTGTAAGATAACTATGATGTAGGAGTTGTCATGCACATCATTACTAGGGACATATAAGTGGTCATGAGGACTGTTCATTCTGCTTGACAATCTCAGAGGGTAGATTGGTTTTTAAATGTTATATGCATGTCATTTTATGGAAATGTTTGCAAACCTTTACATAAAAATATTAAAACAATAAGTATTAATCAAAATTTTTAGTTAGCAACACAGTGGAGACAAGAGAAGAATGCATTTGGAAGCCAAGTCCTTTCCCCAGGAGCCTATAATGGGAAACTCTTCCATGGATTTTGATATGACCCATGGATAAGTTGAGTGTAAGACTTAGGGTCATGTAATATAGGATTAAGCAAAGGAAGACAATGCCAAAGAACTTAAAAAATTCTGGCAGGCATATGTTTGTGTGGATTGGTGGATGAAAGAGTGGGGGCGGGATCAGTCTTTCCAGGACAGATTACACTCTTGCGTTTCACAAGGTTTGTATTTTGGTTTGTATTTTTATGAGAGTTAAAGTATAGTACTTACATTAACCCATGGATAAGTTGACTCAGATTTTTTTGGAACAATTTTTGACTAAAATGTCTAGAGTTATACATGAGTATATACAGTAATGGGGGGGGTAAATGTCCATGTCATTTGCTAGATTGTAAGCCTGAGGGCAGGGAACTATCAAATTAATGATTTGTAGGTTGCCTTGGGAACCTTTATTTATACTCTGGATAAATAAATAATAATATCATGATCTTTTTTTAAAAAAATGTAGTTTTAAATGAAAAGGGAGACAAAAATATCTGGGAAATGGGAAAAGCATATCTGGGAAAATGAAAAGAGGAATCAGATAGAGATCAATGTTGAACTTCATGAAGCAGGGTAGGGCAGGGCAGGGCTTTGGAATACAAATTCAGACCTCTGGTTAGCATGATGAACAGAAGAACCTCTAAAGTCTGGGTAAATATTCTTCCAAAATATTTAGAATTGGAATCTTCTATTTGCTAAAACAAAGGAACCTATAATTGATTTATATTATGCAGGGACCTAATTACTTTGGCTGGAATCTTATTGATGTGCTGTGGTAGTAGTTGTGCTTTCCCCAAAATTGTCCAGCAGCAGAAAGAAAAAGGTGATGAAATTGGGCAGCTCTGAGCAGCCCGTTTCTGTAATATTTTACTTCCTTCATAGCCAGACTACCTGCTCCCTTTTAACTCTTGCTGTCATGCCAGTGTCAGGGTAGTTATGCCTCAACAGGATTTTTAACCATATCCGTAGTACATTATGTTAATGTGACACAATTTATTATTGCTAATGTGCTTTAGATCAGTACTTCCCAAACCTGGTAAGGGACCAGTGAATTATCCCCCACCCCACCCCATCCCATCCCATCCCACCCCAGTGTACCAGGAACCAGATCAATATCTATGCACACTGGCTACAATTGCTTCTTTCTTTCTTGGAAATTTGCCAAGAACCGACAATCACACCAGTTCCTGGACCACCACTTTGACTAGCACTGCTTTAGATTAGATTTGGCTTATATATAATACCAATTCTTATCAAGTTTTAACATCATAGCAGTGTTTCTTTTCTAAAAACACACTAAGGTTGCTACCACACTGTAGAAATAATGCAGTTTGACGCCTCTTTAACTGTAATAGCTCCATGCTGTGGGATCCTGGGATTTGTAATTTGTTGTGGCACCAGAGCTCTGATAGAGAAGGCTAAATATCTCAGAAAACTACAGACCTCAGAATCCCCTAGCACTGAGCCATAGCAGTTAAAGTGGTGTCAAACTGCATTAATTCTGCAGTGTAGATGCAGCCTAAGATACATTTACTATGGATTTAAAGAGGTATATTTCTGATCTGTCTCACTTTTGTGTGTGGCAGAGTTGTTTCTATATATATCAGATATGGATGTGAGCTTCACATGAATTTGCTTTGAAAAATGGGATTTGGGTTTTCATGAAGGCTAGTGGTTTTTTTAAAAAGTTATATGTCCTGATCCCCCCCCCCCCCGGCCATCACTCAGCTAATAAATTTTATTTTGGCATGTGTCAACTATCTTTAATATAAGACAATCTGTCTCAAAATGAACAGACATCTAGGGGGAGTTTAAGGGCAAGCTGAGGTTATGCCCTTATTTTAATATATGTGGTATCAACAACAGGATTAAAAAAAACCCAGTTCATGTGTCAGCCATTCTTTCATCACCTAGCCTAGAGTCATCCATTGAGATGACCTCTGAAGTGTCTGGTGTGGTGACTGATGTAGTTAATGAGATCCAGTGACATTGTGACCTCGACCTCTTATGGCCTCAGTTCTCCTCATCCATCTTCTTCGCCACCACAGGCTGCAAGGCAGATTCTGGAAGCAGGATTAAACAAGTGTGAATAAACAAGTTCAAGAGTTTTCTGTCATGGCTGCCAGTACAAGACAGTAGTAAGGTGACACATTAATATCTCAGAATTACAGGATTGTTGGTTTGTTATGTAGGCAAATAACCACTTTCTCAGTATTTCACCAAAATCCTTTAGTAGGGTATGGTGTGTATTGGAAAATTTCCAAGGAAATTGGAAAATCTGACCTATTGTCTCTTCATTCATGTATTCAGTTTCAGATTCTACTCTGTTGTATTATAAAGAAAAAATCCAAAAGAGGACACACATCTTCCTGGAATATTCTTTGGGAATGCACACTAAGGGCATTAGCATTTTGCTTGATACATTTTAAGATTTGTGAAGAAAATGTAGCTTTTTTATCTATAGCACTTCATAAATAATACAGAATTTTCAAATATGATTTTATTCTCTATTTATGAAAGTAAATATATTGAGATAAGGTACAATGCCAATGTTAAGGTAATGCCTGACTTTCACTTGACAAGACCTTCTGTTTACCCCATGGCACTTTTTGATAAGTTGACCAGTTGGTGATTAAACATATTTATTTAGTTCAGTGGGTCAGAGCTATTCCGACAGATAGAAAATTACTGATGGATTATCGGTTTCAGTATCTGTGACATCTGGCCTTGGCATAGTCTGTCATCTGAGAATTCATAACACATTTGGTTGGACAATAACATGCTCAACTACCTGTGTGATTATAGATCTGGATATTGGAAACATTTTGGTCAGAATTAATGAGACAGATGTCACAGAAATTAGAAGCTTATCAGTGTATGCAGTACTAAAATGCATTTTAGGAAATTTGGTGTAAATTATCAAAGTTTGATTTCATTTCTACAGAGATAATGAGTAGTAATTATATTTGTGTTATTTGCCAATCGCTTATGGCAATCATGTGAATGAAAGACTTCTAAGAGACAGGTCATCAACAGCCCTACTCACAATGATGACCAGTGATGCTTCACCTCTTACAGTCACCATTTTGATTGCACTGTCATGAAAACAGAGGAGTGGGGTGTGATGGGTGTTTCCATGTGTATTCATTTGTTTGGGACACTTTCTGCATGGTTATGGGACAATAATTCCCTCAAAATCACATTTTTTTCCCAAATTGGAGGTTTTGGGGACTGTTGGGGCCTTTGGGGCCTTAGAACTGGGGGCCAACATCCAACTTTCCCCAGACCTATATGAATTTGCTGAGAAATGCTATGTGGGGCAATGAGTTTGGTGTCATCAGTATGCTCATGACAAAGA